TCAATGTTCAAATAAGTTTAAAAGCTATTTCTATAAGCTTTATGTAAGTGTTAAGTAGATTCTAGTGATAAAAACATTATGTCACAGTTTATTTGAAAACTTTTTTTTCTTTTTTTAGTCGTACCTAAAATCATGGTGTACCTTACCATAGGTGAAAGAATAGCTTTGATGAAATACAGTTAATAATACCAGTTCAATGTAACACAAAGCTATCAGAAACAATGAATATCCTAGCTCTTGCTGATGCATATATCATTGCACTTGAGGTAATTAGGTAAACTAACATAGAAAATGATTGATGTGTATAGCTTAAGAATTATTCTATAATTTTTTATTATTATACAAAGTTTTCTTTGATAAATAACTTTTCACATGGGAAGAAGAGGAATAATTAATAAAAAAATAATAGCCACATTTTATGTTTATGCTACATTAAATAATGATAGTGTAAAGGTTCTGTAAGTATACATAATAGCTGCATTAATAGTAAATTAGGTCAATATAACTTTGTCACATATTATGAATACAAAATTAACATTGGTGAGTGCATTTTTTAACCACAAAAATAGAGCATGATAGAAATAGTTTAAGAAGGTAGATCCAAGTGTTTGCTTTTATTTTGACCTTTTAAATGATTTATCTATATTAACACATTATTCATATTTTCTTTGTTGGCATCTAGTATAACATACAAAAGTTTGATTTAACATTCATTACTTTATTCCAAATGATACTGAGTACCCTTTTTAGCCTATTATCCTTGGGTTAAAGCCAGTTGTCATTGACTGTCAGATTGCTTTCAGCCTGTTTTTCCAGTTTTACTTCTTTATTGATGATGATGATGATGATGATGATGATGATGATGATTCTTACCATCCTTTTTCCTTAGCATGCTTAAAGAGATGGGGTGTGATGAGGCTGAAGAATTGGGAGTTTAGTAAAATCATGGAGAGAACCTTTCTGACTTACCAGGATGGCTTTCTAAGTTCACATAGTGCTGAGCTGCCTGGGGTTACAAGTTAGTTGATGAAGCACATAGAAACTACTTGAATTTTGCTGGCAGAATGGGAAGAGATGGCTATGAGTCAAACTACCATTTCCCACTACATTTTTCTTTTCCTGTATACACAATATCATATATTATGGCTGCTTAATGTTTTTTGAGTAAATATATGCTGAAGGAAAATTATATGTATATAACTTTTAGTTCAGGTATGTACCTGGTTATATTGCAGGAGACGTCACTGAGCAGATGAAATTTAAACTACTTTAAAAGATGATTAAAATATCAGTAGGTACACAACCAGTATTTGTTTTATTATATGCCTTTAACTCCCACATTTTATTGGATTTTCTCATTCACCCATGAATGAGACTAATTATAACAATGCTTGTTTTATGTCATGTATTAGGTTGTTCATGAGTGGCAAGAAATGTTGGGTTCATTTTATTTGGTGGAATGATTTTAATTCCCTAGCTCTTCAGAATATTTTATATGAAAAAATAATCTAAAGTGAATAAACTTTAATTCTTGCTATGGATACCCAGGGACATTTTTTTTTATTCTATAATGATGATGATTTAAAATCAGGTGACAGAAATGTCTGAATGTTGACAAGTTCCTGGGGGTAAGAAACACCTGCATATTAAACTTCTGATACTACCAGAGCAGTATGCATATTATTTATCCAAATGTACCTTTTTGGATTGATTGCCTGAAAAGTAAAATCTGGGCTGCTTTGCACAAGCGAAGTTAAAATTTTTTCTCAAGACATCAAGTTCTAATAGTAATAACAATTATGGATTAGCCCCTGACTAATCAGTGCCCTCCAGGCACCAGGAACATCTGAATCGCCTGAAAGTTTTCTTAAAAATGCAGAATCTCAGGCTATATCCCAGACCTATTGAATCAGAATGTGCATTTTATTTTATTATTTTTTAATATTTTCAAATTTATATCTGAGAGGGAGAGAGAGAGAAACATGAATGATGATAGAGCATAATTAATCGGCTGCTTCTGCACGCCCCGCACTGGGGATTGAGCCTTCAACCTGGCATGTGCCCTGACCAGGAATCAAACCCTGACCTCCTGGTTCATAGGTCGACGCTCCACCACTGAGCTGTGCTGGACAGGCCGGAATGTGCATTTTAACAAATCCCTATTTCCATTAAAGTTTGAGAAGTGCTGGTGGCCTGCCTATTCCCTGTCCTGATCTCAGATTTGATTATATAGCACTAATTGGGAATCTTTAAAATACATCCCTATTCCCTGTCCTGATCTCAGATTTGATTATATAGCACTAATTGAGAATCTTTAAAATACATCCTGGCTCCTGAACTTTTCCAACAGAGGAGACATGGTGCACATCATTCTCAAGCAGAATGGCAAGCATGCGTGACTAGATTTTAGAATAGAAAAATAATCTGCTTTACATGCTTCAAAATTCTGTGGATGTATGTCCTTTCTATGTTCTCATGACTTTTTGAGTTTTATACAATAATTGTCCTTTTGTCAACAAAGAATAAAATTACATCCAGTAAATGAATTCAGCTGTCCCTGTTGTACCTGGTCGCCGGTTGATAGTCTCAGGATGTTATTGTAGCTTCTTAGACTTGTGGAAATCATGCTGCTTGGTTCCCTGCAGGAATTAAAATGAAATATTAGTAATTATGCATATTTAATTTTCAAAATGCCAACTGATTACTCACAGCATTTGTAAAAAGGAAAATTATTGTAGATGTGCATAAACTCTTTCCTTAATAAGGACCTTTGAAGTCTAAAATTGTGCTATCACGGATATTTTTTATTCCAGCGATCAGAATAAAAAATGAATTATTTAGTAACATATCTTTCTTCTTTTCCCTTTTCCAGATGCAAGACGAAGGTCTACCCTGATGAACTTCCAAACACAAGTGTAGTTATTGTGTTTCATAATGAAGCTTGGAGCACCCTCCTTCGAACTGTTTACAGCGTTATAAATCGTTCTCCACACTATTTACTTTCTGAGGTCATCTTGGTAGATGATGCCAGTGAAAGAGGTATAAATGTTTTTCTCATATATTTTCTTAAATTAGAACACTTTATTATGGTCAAGAAGACAGCTGGGAAATGATCTGTATTTTCCTTGTAATTATACTAACCCTGAAACCACCCCTCATCATCAGTGCATTTCCATCAGTGTATCTAGGCAATCCCAACTCTAGAGACAAGGAACTAATTATTACAGTTTCTCCCATGATTCCATTTGGTTCTTACTAACCCAGGAAATCAGACAAAATGACATTCAAAAGGGTTCTTTTTTTCCCCAACTCAACTGCTCAGATAATTGAACATTTATATAACTTTATGGATACCTGTCTTTTTTTTTTAAGTTCAGGTAAATGCAAAATAACTTAATGAAGGAGCCTGCATTTGCCAGTGTGGCTTAGTTTCTCCATTAGAGTCTGACATATTAACTTCCTATTTTATCCTTATTCTTGTCAGCCAAGTGACAGGTTATAATGAACTATACATGAATATACTCATGAAGTCTTTATAGCTTTATGTCACCTACTGCAAAAAATGTTGACAGGAGTTCACCACCATTTCTGTGTGTTGAGTTTTCATCTGGGCAGTAGTATCTCTGCGGTGTTTTAAAACAGTTTCAAAACTTTCTTATACATTCTTATTGCACGTTGCAGATTTTCTCAAGTTGACATTAGAGAATTATGTGAAAAATTTAGAAGTACCAGTAAAAATTATCAGAATGGAAGAGCGCTCCGGGTTAATACGTGCTCGCCTTCGAGGAGCAGCTGCTTCAAAAGGGCAGGTCATCACTTTCCTCGATGCACACTGTGAATGTACCGTGGGCTGGCTGGAGCCCTTGCTGGCGAGAATAAAGGAAGACAGGTAAGGACTCACGGGTTCTGTCTGCCTGGGTTATGACGGAACCTGTCAGGACAGTGTTGGCTTTCCACCAGAAAATCTCTTCCAGGTTGCTATTTTCAGGTATATTCCTAGCTTTTAAAAAAGCTGTCCCCACCTTTCTCGTTTAATAAAGACCTTGGCTTTGTAGTGCTGAACATAATTATTTGATTAAGAAATAGTCAAACAATTCAAATAGTACACATGTTGAATATTCATTTTTAGGGGAAGGAAACCAGTCTAATTTGAAATAGTACAATTTTGTAAAATACATTTTCAAAGGATCTTATTGTGTCCTCACAACCGCTGTGAGGTAGGTAATGTAGATATTCTTACCGTACCTAATAACAGGGAGGAGCACAGAGATTAAGTAGCTTGATCCAGTTATTGGAAGTGATGGGAGCAATTCAGTTGTTTCTATTCCCAGACTAGTCTTTTTTCTACTAGGTCAGTGTCCTTATTCAAAGTCTTGTTCAAAACCACCTTCAGGATCTTAAAAATAAAAACACATAAATTCCACATTCCAAACATAATACGTACAGAGCACAGCTATAAAGAATGCTTAATTATTTAAGCAACATTGCCACTTTGTACATAAAAATGATGGAATCTGAAAGATTGAATGTTACTTGCAGAAATTAAGAACCTCCTGGTTACCTGAAATTCTCTTTAATGATGAGACTATGAGGTATGAGCCTTTGCTGAAGATATTCATAAACATTGGTGATAAATGAGTGTAATTCCTAAGCACTTAGGAAGACAACAATGTTGAATACTGTCGGATATAAAAACATAGCCATGTATAACACCTTGCTTGCAAAGGAAGTTCACCTGCAATAGAAAGGTCTTTCTAGAATTGAAGTTTTTAATTAAGCACTCAAAACCAGGGCTGTGTAGTGTGAGCTAGTCCAACTATATCACTTAAATGGCAAGATTTGATACTTGCCACGAAGATGGATGGATTCTGCCAGTAAAATGAACCATAGCAGTTGAATAAAGCAGTAGGAACCTTTTAGTCAACTGCATGTAGTACACAGCTAATAACATTTTTCCACTCTGTGTATTGTACAGTACTCACAGGAGGGTAAGACTGGCGAAATAAAATGAACTTGGAACATCTTAAATGCATTTCTTGGCAACATTCATACATTATGCTGCCTTTAAAAACGTGTTTCATATTCAGCTTAGTGAGTTTTTAATATAATATTGTTTCAATATGGTCATGCATAGATCATTTATTTTTTAATGTAACAACATATTTAAATTATATTTCTATGTAATGAACTCTACTGTTTTGTTCTACTAGTAGGTTCTAAAGTTGCCATAACTAGATAATAAAGTCCTGTTCAAAGTTATTAGATCTAATTTAATCTCCCTACAAATTAAATTACTAAATTTAATAACTAACTAAATAAATAAAGATATTGATTTTGTAGGGACCAGTGTTACCAAGAAGTTTTTCCAAGGGTAGATGAATTCTACTGACTTCAGAGAACTCTAGTCTTTAATTAATTGTGTAGAATATAAAAGAGAATTGAAAATAAGTATGAGTGATATAGGTGTCACCAAAGCAGAATAAATGATGGACAACATTTATTTTGCTTTCCACATCTATGTGCGATTCAAAAGCATATTTTTATGTTTACCTTCTACCAAATATGACAAATAAGCTCTGCACTTCAGAATTAGCAACAACTGGGGCAAACTTGGGTAGAAGTACGCATTTACTGTGGCGATGACACAAGTTTGATACTATAATAAGACATATAACTGGGAGCATGGGAAGGCACAACATGAGTTAAGCGAGTACCTATTGATCTCCCATGGCAAAAAATTCTTTTTACCTAAAAAGCCGTCATCAAGAACCCCAAATCTGGCTTTTTCTCTTACTTTAAGAAAAGATAGGTTAGGGTATAAACACCAGAAATTGAAGTTGGTTATCTTTCTGTATCTTAAAAGTTGTAGATTGTTACTATAAACTCTTAAGTCTAGGACAATTCACTCAGAAATTGTCATGACCCTAATATCTTTCATGGGAAACATTTACTTATACTGATTATTACTATTTTTATTGTTATTTCTATTTGTTGATTTTTGTTGTTTGTTTTTTGTAATAGATATTTTCTCCATGAAGATTTTCATAGAACTATCTCTTTAATCTAACAGTAACCCCTCTGAGATTGAAACTACCAGATCTAATTTGCAATCATCCATTCTCCACTCCCTGTATGCAATTACTTTTCTATAAAAGATATAGCTAAAATGATGCATAATGTCAAAGCAGCTGTACTAATCATGCTGTGGGCGGAGGTTTTATGAATAATAGACCATGTCCATCCTGCTGAGTTAGTACTTAGGATGTATTTGAAAATCAGCTTGAAGATCAATCACTATATCTGATTAGATTATACATGGTAGTATGAAGTTGGCTGAAGGAAGATCTGGTAAAAGGAAATAATTCCATAGGAAAAAGGATAAAATAAAAACATATTAATGTCACAAAATAATTAAATTTCAACACATCACCTATATTGAGTTTGAAGAAACAACTATAGCACTTAAATTATTATTTGTGTGTAAACTGGTTTTACTTCTTCTGCAGGAAAACAGTTGTATGCCCCATCATTGATGTGATTAGTGATGATACCTTTGAATATATGGCTGGGTCAGACATGACTTATGGTGGTTTTAACTGGAAACTGAATTTTCGTTGGTATCCTGTTCCCCAAAGAGAAATGGATAGGAGGAAAGGAGACAGAACATTACCTGTCAGGTATGTAGATCCTATCTTCCGATGGTAGCATGTACATTCCTGTAATAATTCAGAAGTATTATAAATTTATGTTCTCATTTTTAAGTCTTTAAAAGTCATATATTTTTATTCATACACACATGTGTCATCATCTTTTACACGATCATCTAGGAATCAATGGCTATATTAAATCTAGTTTAGATTAGCACTGGCAAATTAGCATTGGCAGAAGTGCCAAATTTCTTTTGAAACTTTGTGTATCTTTATATTACAAATATACTTATTGTCATTTTTCTGTGTGACAGATATGTGCTAGCCTTGCCAATTAAGGTAGATAGACCTTACCTAAATGTATATGTATTATAGTAGAGGTGTACCTAAAATTAAAATAATAAAAAATGTTTTAGTAAATATTCTAAATTTACTTGAAGAACTATCTTCCTGACAGATACAAGAGAAAGATCCATTTAGAAAATTTTATTATATTAATAATTATGAAGGATTTTTTGTTTATTCCAAGTTATTGAAAATAGCTACTTTGTTTGAAATATTTATTCATAAAATATGTTTTCCCTTAATAAAAAATGAGAAATATATGCATCTTTAATTTTCTAGATAGTTATTACCCACTTTATGAACATAAAATTATCACCTTCTTACTTTAACATATCATTGTGTACTTCTTAACTGCAATAAAAATTTTATTTTCTGAATAATATTTTGTGGAAGGAGTTCACTAGTTTAGCTCTTTAAAGATTCATTTGGCAAATCATCATTTAGTTAGAATAATAGAGAATACCCTAACATTCTAAAACAATATATGTAGCCCATTATCTAAACAAGAATATTTCCTAACCTAATGAAGGATTGACTTATCCATTGGCAAGCTTAATTATATAATGAATTAATTAAAAGTAACTAACAATTCACTAATAGAAGGGAACAGCTCTAATTGTTTGTTATTGAACAATTAAATTTGAGGCTGTTAACCCTCTAAAGGTGGTAGTATTACATCAAAGAGAAAAAAATGTGGCTACGGACAATTGCATAGAGATGTGAAATTATTATGTCAGCATTTAAAGTGTGATTTAGCAGCACTGAAATCTTGCAGTAATCTGCACGTTCACCAAGTCTTATTGATCCTTGCCTTTAATGACTTGAGGAAATACAGGAGCTCATATTACTATTTTTTATTAGAAATTCTGTTTTCCCACATCATGGTAACATTTAGCATTAGCTGATTTTTCAACTTCAGATCCCAAGTGAAAACTATCAAAATGCTTGAAAAATACACTCAAATGTAGATGTGTTTATTCATTTGAAAATGAAGTAATAAAGAATGTGTTTTGTTCTTTTGAAACATTGATCATGGAGGTAGTAGGATTGTAATCTGGCATGGTCTGAAGCTGTCCACCAGGAGCACTGCCACTGGGGCCTCCTGGGAGGTGCAGGACCAGCCACCACCTTTTCCCTGCCTGGTGCCACCTGACACTAGCTATAGAGTGATCTTAGATGGTTGCTACTTGTTTGGGGCTTGAAGGTGCCCAGGAGAGGCCATGCTGCAAGCCAGGCCACATTCCCGGTAGTGCCAGGACCAGGATCACTTAGCAAGAGACATAGGTCATGCAGAGACCAGTTGCTGCTTATTTGAGAGATAGTAGGAAAGTCCGAATCATGAGGCATGAGAGACCATTTGTATGGAAAAGCCACTGTAAATGGCTTGGATGGGCCCACAAGTTGGATGGAGCAGTGTCTCAAGGAATCACCAAGGCTGGACTAACAGTGTTAACCAGGTTGATGGAAATTCAGATTATGGCACCCACCTGCCAGCTCTGAGGGGAAAGGGCTCATCAAAGAACAATGGCCTCTGCCAGCACTTCTGTCTGGGAGAAGCCTGCGCCAGACCCTTGAGCTGGGAATTCTGTTGTGGGGCCAAGAACCCTTGCTCCTTAGAGTGTACCTTTTTGGCCAAGATTTCTCTCTTGATTTTTAATGGCCACACGTGGAGGTGAGACCAGCCCATTCTGTGTCTCTGTCCTTCCTAGAAATCTTGATGTGGCTTCTTCTGTATATACTTATTTATAGGTCTTCTGTTCAGCTAGATTTCAGGTAGTTATGAATTATGGTTGTTCTGTAATTTAGTTGTAATTTTGATGTCATTGTGGGCGGTTCCAAGTGCCGTATTTACCTATGCCACCATCCCGACCAGAACCTACTTTTATTTTCTCACAGAGTGAAAAGGTAGATAATTAAATGGTAGCCAACGTTCATAATAATTTACTGATCTCATTCATGAAAGTAAAGATTTACATAGAAATCAGACATTATCTCTCATCTTTTATTAACTAAAACATAAGATGAAATAGCCTACTTGCTATACTTATGTGGCTTCATTATAGTAACACGGAGAGCTGATAAAAACTAAGTGTATTTTATTTGTATCCTTCAGTAACTGCACAGTATTTTACTTTTTAAATTGCTGAAGGAGCTGGAGCAAAAGAAAAAGAGAAATCTATCTTTGCTGATGTTTCTAGATATTTATGGCAAAAGGTTAATTAATGCATGGGTTATGTTGTAACAGCCCACAGGTAATTTTCATCAGCATAGCTATCATGTGAACTTTCTTTGTACTTATAATCTGTTACTTGAAGATGTGATCATTTTTCTCACATTTATACAAACACATTAATCATTCTAGGTGTTGAAGACTTTTTTTCTTATTTGATTAATAGAATTCTGAATAGCTAAAGTGATTAAAATGAGGTTGAAATGTTAGTTTTCTTAGTGGAATACTTCTTTTAAAATGTCAGTTAAGACAGAACTTCCTACTGACTATAATTTGCTAATTTAGTCATCACTTAGAAATACAATCAAGCTTCTGTGTATATAAAGAACCAATTTGAACTTGTGACCTAACCTTAGTTATACCACATTTAAATTAAAGCTTATAATTGTTATTATTATTCTATTGTCACCTCTAGGCTTTGATATTTTCATTTTGATAATAAATGGAGTGTGTGAAATACTTGGTATTTGTGAAGTTATGAGAATGGAATAATAGCACATTTAATCCCTATTATTTAGTTTTCTTTAATCTATAAACTCTCCTTAATATTTTAGTTGTTAAATTATATGACTTTTTAGGAATATCTCAATTATATGTGCAACAATAGAGTAATCAAATTGTTAAACCAGAGCTCTTATACCAGGAGTTTGCATGTCAAATATGCTGTGTAGGTGAATTTTACTTGACCTACATAGTGTTTTAAATTTTAAAAATTACCACCACCAAAAAAATGAGATGTTTTAAAGAAAAATCTGGATTTCCAGCTATTCTTGAGAAGTCAGAATTTCTTGTTGTTATGATCCTCTGTTCCTAATGGGCACCATCAGGTGGAGTTCAGTAGAAGCTGTCCATATAGAAGTAGCATGAAAGTGTAACATAATCCCCACAACTCTTTTTTTTTAATAGTGTGTCCTTGACCCTGAGGCTGAGGATCAGTTGTTGCCATTTGTCATCATTCTTATACTTGGAAAAATATTTCTCTGTACCTGTTTCCCAACCAAAGATGAGAGAAATACACCTATTGCAACTAATCAACTCCACATATTGATATTATTTACCTGACTAAAATCTTTTTAATTTGTGACTTTTGACTTCGAGGAAATGGCTGCATTTTAAAGATTAAACAAGTTGGACTTGTATGAGTGTACATATGCATAACCTAATGGAATAGCAACTAGTAGCATAAATTATCTGGTAGGGCAGATAATCTCTTGAATCATTTAATTAGTTTGGGGGATGTATGTTTCCAATACATGTAACTTTTGAGTTGATTTGGTTCAGGCTATTGGAATGAGTTTGATTTCATGTGCAAATACACATAGTGCACCATGCTAGGTTTTGCACATAAAAGATTAATAAGGCGTTCTATGCTCTAAAGTTGCTCACTCTCTGGGACGGGTCATGTGTATGTTGGACCAGTATATGTGGTCAGAGTGTGGCTACACAGGAGTTAAACCATGTTACTGCTAGAGTTGTGTGGGCTTCTGGAAAAGAATCCACCTCTATTCTTATTCATAACTTTCATCTTTTAGTTATGCTGTGTAAGTCATCCCCAATAATTATAAAGATATTTGTTTCCACTTTAATTTCTTAATTGTTAAAGTAGATATCTTTACTAGAAAGCTACAGGTTACTTATCAAGCCTATTTAACTTTTTTTTATTCTTTTCTTATCTTATAGACTTTTGCATTTAGTTATTATTAATAATCTTAATATGCCTTCTTTCATTTTCACTTGGAGTACCATTTTCATTATCTTCCTAAAGCAAAATAAAAGAATTTTTTTAATTTTTTCTAATTCTTGCTATCATAAATCAAACAAAGATATAATTATGAATTTTTTCTCTCTGACACATTTTACCTACTTTGATATCCCTTTTTAGTAACATGTGACTGATCTCATACATTTATTTTTCTTTCAAAGAAAGGAATTTATAAAGAAAAAAATTAATAGTGTTCTTAATAATAGCTCAGATGACAATTATTGTGCCTTTATTGGGAAAAACCTCATAGAAATTTTACATATCTATTTCCAACATCTTTATAGTATGATATTACAGAAGAAATATTAAAGCTGGCTTTGGAGAATCTGGGTTTTATTTCAAGCTCCTCCAATTGGAAAATTACCCAGTCTTCTCAACTATTAAATGGAAAATTATTCTCGCTGCCTTGCTTAAGTCATGAAGTGCTATAAAATATTAACTGAGAAACGTATTTGAAAGGTGTTATTTTAAATTTATTCCTGATATAACATATGTGCATTGCAAAATAAATGTGACAAGTACCTAAAGCATAATGAAACAGAACACCAAGAAGCCACTTCTTTTAAAATTTTGTTATATTTCTTTCTGGATACATTTCTCCACAGTTTAGAAATTGCTATACCATGGGTATTTTCTTATGCCAGTAATTTTTTTTTCACAAATAAAAATTTTAATAGCTGCTAATATCTCAAT